TAAGTCGTTTCGAGATGTTTGACATCAATTCCATGTTCGAGATTTCTCATTGTATTATTGTCACAACAAAGTGCGGCACGAGCGAACGTGATACAAATTTGCTCTTGCCAGAAATTAGCTCTTGTACTCGTTTCAATTCAGACCATAATCCTGCGACCGTGCTTCATACAAATTAATAACAAATTAGTGGTGTATTTTCATATGTACTGAAACGTCATTTTCAATAAATAAATATTACAATAGATATTATACTGTTATTCTATAAGTACCTACCTAGTACCTTATTTTGGATAATGACGTGAATTTTTGTAACCATAGCTTAATGAACTTAATGTCGATTGAATAACGTACAAACTAGATACGAGCCAAATAACTTTTTTCTTTAAAAAACCGACTTCAAAGTTTGCTTATTTTATTGGAATAACATCTATTTGCCAAGTTTTATTGAAATCGGTTAACGGAAAGTGCGCGAAATCGGATTCTTCCCCTAATTTGCCACCCTTAGAGATGGAATATTTTCTTTAAATTTAAATGAGACCAATACTGAGGTACCCTCTTTCCAAGTAAAAAAAGAATCATCAAAATCGGTTTACAAACGCCGTAGTAACCACGCAACATACACATTAAAAAAAATTGTCTAATTGAGAACCTCCTACTTTTTTAAAAATCGGTTCAAAAACAGATCGCGCGTCTTCCGAAGAATTCTCACGCAGTCTCGAGGATTCCCGCAGCTATAATACGTTACACAATTGAAATAAAGTTTATTATGCTATGTACAAAAAATCGTTCGTTCATAACAAAAAAGCCTTCGGCTACCACCACATAAGTATGATAGTCTTATGTAACGCTACAAAAGAAGTTAGGAGAGTAAAAATAACATTCAATTACTCAGTTCCACTGTCCTACGCTCAGTGACTTTTGCAATGCAAGAAATAGAATTATGAAAGTGGTAGTGATTAAATTGTAATTTGTAATTCACCGATTTGTTTACTCAATAAGTGTTATCTAGCATTACATTATCGTCATAATGCAATCGCTTTTTTAATAAATAGCTTAATTTGTCAAGATAAATAAAAACAATCATCCTTCTCGTCTCGAATGGTTTATTAGGCAATAGTTGACATGCAAAGCGTTATCAACGTGACCATAATTTTTTTCCTTCGAGGTGGGACGCGTGTAAATTTATTATTGTTTTAAAATAACTCACAATAAATCACATGTTTATGATAGTTACGAAATATATACTAATAGAAAAAACTACAATATATTAGAAAATTTTAGCAACGCCACAACACATGGACACAAAAAAAATATCGATAACACTAAAAAATAAAACGAATTAGCCACAACTATAAATGACTGTGGCGCTGGTTTTCAATGAGCCCTGGATAAAAAAATAATTTGAAATATTTAATGATCAAAAAATAACATAAGAACTAATCTTGTGTAGTCAGGTGGGTTGGCTTTATGTATTTTTCGGACGCGCAAATTTGCTTTACTTTGTCAGGTTTAGTTTTTAAATACGTTCCACCGTCCGAAACCGGCACCTCCACCAATTCATTCCCGCCAAAAACACAACTGTGTAAAAGGCGCGGGCGACATGGCTCATTTGCTGCTACGCTTTCGCGCCATTCTTCTAAATTTATATATTGTCACACGTCTCCTGTGTAGTCAAAGAGGGACTTTTAAGTATTTTAGGGACAGCAAGACACGAAGCTTAAAAGCGGGACGTATGGTCACGTTAAGCATTACCCTGAACTTTCTTTGTCAGTTAACAGATGTAAGTGACAATTTACTTTTGAGCTCCGAAATGGTGGAGCTGGAATTGGCTATAGACATCCATTTCTGTGACGTCAGAAATAAGTACCTTAAAATTCCATAATACAATATGGACCTAAATCAACAAACCACCTTTTACTTGTTATGCATGCAACATCTAACTCTCTTATAAGAGAAGATCTGTGCTTAACAGTAGAATGTGTATAAGATATGCCTTTTTTTATAATATTTAGTGACGGTACGAACAAGTCGTGCGCCTGATGGTAAGCGACTGGCCTGTCCATAGCAGCTGCAGTGTTACTCAGAGCTTCAAATCGCAAAGATCTGAAGGACACCGCCACCGCGCCAGTCACCCTGAGATATAAGTTGACAAGTCCCATATACCTGTAGTTGCACCCTTACATTTCAAAACTGGAATACAGTAATGCTGATATTACTGTTTGACGGCAGAAATAGGTGGCAGTACGTCCCTGGACGAATTCTTTCAAAAGGAGCTCTACTGCTGCCTGTATTATAATGATGCAATAATGCAGAATACTACTATTTTCAGCCTACAGTGACGAGCAGAACAAGAGAATGTTTATTATGAATAAATCATCCGTCTTCTTAAGACTATTTTAAAAGGTAGATTAAAATATCAAACAAGCTAAAATTCCTGCATAAAAATAAATAGTCAACACAAATGCAAGTCTGCAACTTGATTATGAGTCATGATCGAATGTCATGAGTGACTAATCAACTGAGATAAGAGAATGCAATAACTATAACGTTTATACAATTCGTGTTCTTTTTAAATATTCTGTAATGGCGTTTGCAAATAAATACTTATTTTATCTTTCTTTAAAACATATTCATGCTGATACGGTTGCTGATTTTCTGACTGATATTAAGATCAGAAAATCAGCAACCGTATGATTTTATGTATTTTAAAAAAAACGCGAAAAATGTACCTGGTTACTGATCCTATCTACATGAAAAAGCTGACTATTTCCTTTGGTATTGTAATAAAATATTATTTCAATGATTTCGTTACATTTATCAACAAAAGAATATATCTGTTCGAAAATAATCAATCAGCCTAGCTTAATCGTTCTGGAATTTTATCAAAATAATATTTTAAAAAAACTTCTGAGCTGCTTTTTTGGCTTACAGTCTGTTTCTGGAAGGTTTGTAAATTATTCCAGTGTGCCTTTTAGGTCATATCATGAAGCAAACATGCGCAATGAATATTCACAACCCTGCTTATTATTAATACAAAGATTGAACACAGAAAAATTCCTTCAACCTGACAGGACTTGAAACTGCGACCACACTGTACCGAAGCATCGCTCTGCCGACTGAGCTACAGTTCGAGTCAGCAGGTCCACGAAATAATTCTTCTATGTACAACAGATGTTGTACATCTTTGTATTGGGTTTTTTCAGCTTTCAATGTCGTAAGCCATCTGAACTAAAGTGTTTGCTTTAAAATTGTTTGTTGCTTCTGCTTCCGCAACTGCGGAAGTTCCGCAAGTTTTTCACATCTGTTTCCGTTTCTGCTTACGCAACTTTTATAACGGATCGGAGTTTACAACGTTGGTGACAGATCAAACACTAACGCGATTTGCTCATTGGCAGTGTACAGTTTGAGCATTTTATATTAAGATTATTTATGAAACCAAAAACAAACTCTGTTTGGAACAATTTCTTAAGAGATTTTAAACTGTTTACACTTCCGCATCTGTTTCCGTTAAAACACTTCAGTTGCATCTTATTGTATGTTGAAGAAGGATCAGGAAAGAAGGTGGAAGAAACATCGTGACTGAAATGGTCATTCTTAAATTTCTCTCTATAACAGATTTGTTCCTAGTAAATCTAGTAATTGTTATTTTACAGGTAAAAAAATAACAAATACAATTTTTTTGACGTTTTAGTTTTCTATCTGACAACAATATAGGTCACCATATTAATCAATGGTCAGTAAATACCATTGTAGTAACAATGGCTTAATCACGATTTGATGTTGTAATTTACCGATAATAATCTCAAGTACCACTATAAAAACCACAATCTGTTGTTATAGGGATATGCTACATTAAATAAGATTGTAAGGACTGTTGAAGAATTTATTTATTATTTTATATAACCTTGTAAAAAACCGTAGCAATTGGTATTTTAAAGTGATTTTCAAATTATTTAAGGTGATTATTGAAGAAAACGTTGAACCAATGAAAATGTCTATACATACATATAGGTTTTAGCATTGTCAACGCATTATGTACTGCTGCCGGATAATGGTCTCTGCTAAGAAGAGGGTTCATACCATAGTCTTGTATATCATATCATAAAGTTCCTGGTGTTTGGGGGTTTCAATCACCTTAGGTGTTTTTGTACAAATTCTATTTGTACATTTTTCATTCCAATGCATTCTTCCATTGTAAAGCAAGTGTTAATTGGTAAAACTTTGTGACACAGGCCAAGGACCTTCCACTTAGGATGCATTCAGTTACAAGAATAAGTAATGACAAATATTATAATACTTTCAAAAAGCAGTACTTAATAGCTTGTTAGCCTCAATATTATGTGTTATAAAGGTTTACTGACAGCAAAATCAAATATAAAGGGTAATTAATATAAACGGAACCATGACAATCCTCAAAAAAAACTTTAGTAACAAATCCTAAACTCTATTCGACCTAAACTAAGCATTTAAAAACGGACATTTACTTTTCTGTTAATGACTGAAAAGAGATATTGTTACTATATTTGTTTGTGTTAAAATAACAATATAATTTTAATAACCCTGGCTTTTAATATACTCAGATAGCTATTACCTAAAGTGCTAAAACTTAGCAAACTTCTTTACAGCTACAGAATTGTAATTGTAAACAATATTTTATGTGGAACAGGAACTAAATTGACATTTACAATATTACACAACACAATGGGGTTTCCCATCCTTGCAAAAGGTCATGTGATCTGCATACCAAATTACATGTTTTCACTCGCCATTGCCATGTTAATACTGTATTGTTAGACAATCTTGTCATATTCGAGTTTTAGATGAACAAAAATAGAAGCTAACAAATAGATAGCAATTAAGCAGGTCATCAGTAAAAAAACCACAATACAGACAATTAGTATAAGATTATTCACTACACAAACACGGGTCACAATTCCCAGTGATCGTACAAAGAAGCCCGATGGCCATTGTTTACTCATCAAATACGATTTGTCACTTACCAATTGAAATTCTCTCCGTCGGTCGTAGGCCCTTTTGATAGCCCTGTCCAGCCATAAGGAGTGTATGTGCGGCGCGTAGTGCATAAACAGTCGGTTGTCGAGAGTCGCCGTACTGTTGAAGTGCAGAGCCTGCTGCCCGATGTCCAAGTTGCGCGGATTTTCCCACGGGATCGCGAGCTTGTCTCGCGCGTCAACCAACACCTGAATGCCCTTCACAATGTTCTGATATATCACATGCTGGTACTCTCGCACCAGCTCCGGCTCGAACTTCACTTTATGTATAATCCTCATCTGTTTCAAGAATGTTGACTTTCCGCTTTCACCCGCACCGAGCAGCAACAGCTTCACCTGCCGCCGGAGCGTCTGCTTGTCTTTCTCTAGGATCCTGTCGATCTCCTTGCTCCTGTACCGCTGCTCTATCTCCTCTGGCGACAGCTTCAGACGTAGCCAGCAAGTCAGAGCCTCCGTACAACAGGTACATGACCACAAATCGTTGGCCATTTTGCATGATTATCAACGCCCATAGAACAAAATAAAACTGAGCAACCGATGTTACACGATAATTAAATAGTTTATTATAAACACATTTTCGTAATAGCACTACGTAAAAACTGATAATAGTAAAATAAAGCTTAAATCCGGAATCTGGAAATACACACGCATTCCTTCACCCCTCCCAAACTCATTGAAGAAATGAGAAAGAGCACAGATAAAAACAAAGAAAACTCTGAACAACTATTTATCTCTATCTAACGTCATAGAATAAAAAGAGATCGATATAGAGTGATGACCCACTCGGTTTGTGAGAATCGGCTAGTTTTTATAGTACCACATAGGCCATAAACAGACGATTTGAGTTATATAGTTTTTACTACACCGACACTCAGAATCGATCGATTTAAAAAGAATGAATGTAATGTTAGACGTCATCAAAATGTCAAAATCAGGTTGCGCGCATATGTAAGGCATATGTGCACGTGTTGTGTATTTGGAATTAATCTATAGAAATAGGTAGGAAATTCTTGGAATACACCAGGGAAATCGTGACAATTATAAATTCAAAGTGCTTTAAGTGACAAGCTTCACTGTCAACAATGTAATCTTTTGCGGTGCCATGCCTAAAGAAGGTTATAGTTCCGAAAAGAAAGAAAGCGACAGCAAAGTGGTTTTGGAAAGACTGCAGTCTTATTTAAAAGATAAGAGAAATAGTGAAGTGGTGGAGACGAGCTTAAGCTACAGTAAGCCGAGTACAAGCTACGAACAGAGTCCACATGCTGGTCCTCTAGAAGATAGTAGCAACATATTAAGAGAAGTTTTAAACTATAAAAAAGCGGAATTGCTCCGGCATCCTGACATAATTGCATACCTCAAGTCTGTTGCATCGGATCTGAAGAAGTAGAACGATGGCGGTTGCAACTCAGAAGACCGTTGCATCACTGATGCAAAAGACGCTAGACCGGCAAGCGGCGATTACGCGTATGAAAGTTAGGTTTAAGAAAAATCAAATTGAACAGATACTAATAAGCTACAATAGAGACGGAAAGACTGGCCCGTATGGTGAACTTTTGAAGGTGCTGCAAGAGTGTCCTATAAACGATAATAACTACAAAATTTTGCTAGAGGATTGCCTCTCATGTGTAGTATTACTAGGTCGAGAATTGAAGCAATTTGTAGACATTGTGTGCAATGTAGAATGGGCGACGCGGAGTGAGGAGCTTGTGGAGATGTTTAGCATGTTTGTGCTTAATCTTGTAACAGCACATACTTACCATTGTCCTCGTGTTATGACCTCATTAGTGCAATTATTCAAAGGTAAATATTGTCAATTGGACATAGTCAAACAAAAAGGATCCTATGCACATCCAGTCACTTTCGATATATGGCAGTTTGAAGTGTTTCTCACTCTTGTTTTATTGTCAAAACTTATGTCATGTAACTCCAAAGATATTTATTTATGTATATGTTGGATTATTTTGCTGATCTAAGAGGTTAGACTTTAGGAACCGTTTGGTACATATAACTAACTTTTCGATAATTTTGTGGATTGGATCCTTTTTGCTTAACTACTTCCAATGATTCTTACGGAATTATTTTGTTCATGACCACACAGTGATGAAAATGCCAAAGAACACTTCCTAAGTTGCCCTAAATGTATTTTTTTTTTAATATAAATAGGGGCCAAAACCAATACAGAACTTTAAATAGTACATTAGAGCAAAAGTTTTTTAATTGGCTAATATTATATATTTAATCCTCTAAATACTTAAAATGAAACACAAAAATTTAAAAAAATTACATTTCATTGCACAATAATTGTAATACATATATCTGATTACTTATCAATTGTTATGAAATCTGTTACCATTTAGAGAGATAACTTTAACATTGGCAACAAACATTAACAACAAATTGGCAATGTATTGTACCTGTTACACCAATTACGAGTGTCACATATGTTTTATATTGCCACATAAAACCCTAATTCCCTTAGAAAGCTGACAAATCCTTAATAGCTCTAAAGTAAAGAATTCATGTTCTCCCAACAAAATGTCAAAATAATGTCATTTCCTCAGCTGATGGTGAAAACTGGGATGAGAGTCCGTCTGAGGACACAATGAAGATGTGGTCCAACATCCACACTGTCATTGCACAAATTGTAGCTGTTATTCCTATGTAAGTATAAATATCATGGAACTTGTACATACATCGTGTATGTGTACATACATGAATAAACATAGCACCCAATAGGTCATTTGCATGTCTGAAACTTTGTATGTCTCATCAATTTTAAATGAAGAATATGTGCTGGATCCATGACAGATACTGACATTTCAGAAGATGTATAGCTATGTACGCCACCATTGTTCTATATTAAGTTCTTAATCATAAAGGTCACCATGGCATGTGGGTAAAAAGAATGTGAAAGGTAAAATGACCTGGTTAATGAGAACACTTGAAACTTGTTTCATTTATAACCTGTGCTTTTTTGCATCTGATGTTAAATGACAATGAGGATTCAAATTGTTTACACAATCTGGCCTCATAAGTGATTGCTAACATTACTCGAAAATTGTTAAAAGTAATAATAAAAATTTTTCCATCTTTCAGGACTAGCGATCTCCTAATGCAAAAACTGATAGACCAGTTCCCCTACTATAAAGCTGGAGTCTACCCCAATAGAGCCTATATTCATAATTTAATATGGATCAGTAAATATATACCTTCACTTAGAGAACAGATTATGGCTGCTATTGTTAGTAGGTAAGTAGTCTTTAAAAAAAAGTATATAATATTTATTGTAATGTTCAGCCTTAAGTTTTGTACCTTTGTATGCCCAAATACTAGTTTCCTATTTCTAGCGACAATAAGGTCATAAATCTATTGCTGTCTAATACTAAAATAGACAATAAAACCTATTCTGCACTTTTAAACCACAGGTTCAGAAACTTTTTTTGGCTCACTGCCCACTTAGACAAGATAACAAAATTTCAACACCAACCACCACAAAAAATTATTGAAAATACGTATTTTTTATACTATTTTAACACAAAATATCACAAGGAAAAAATTATATAACATATATGTGTAGTGTACTTTATACAGACAATACAGATTTTTAAATGTGGTAGCACACCCTGGACAGCATTAACACCCCACTTAGGTAGGGACCACTTTGTGAAATTATGTTTTAAACTATAACAAAGCATACACAGGCTCTTCTCGTGCCAGAAGTCTTGGTCACAGTCCCCAATTGACCCTAATCTATGTAGGTTGGGTAGAATTTTTAACAAGCAACATGCACTCTGTGTCTATCTCAGGTTCCATCAACATTAAAGCAAATAAAAAATCAATTCTAAACTCTTTTTCAGATTAGTAATAATGGACGCAAATGTAGTTGATCGATCAAAAAATAAACAACATATAGAAACAATGTTCGACATGGACGTTGACGAGGAGGACGACGCCAGCTCCACTCTGGACTACGGCATGATTGAAGTGCTCAAATGGCTAGAGGATGAACGAGACCCAGTGTTGGATGTCATGTGCACTGTCTTCGAAAAGGTTATATTGCCTACACATGGAATTAGGTATGTCTAACTTACATTTTATATATTTAGCGTTATAATTCAATTACAATTGTTATTTTTTTGGTTTATGTGTAATGTTTAAGCTATGTAAAAAAATTTATCTTAATTCTTTGGAATACAATACATTCTTATTATCTGATTACGGTGAAAATCTTGAAAAAAATTTATGAACTTAATTATCCTACTCATAGTCACGTCACACTCAAATAAACTTAAGCATTATGCTTGTAATCGTCATATATACATAATTATATTTGGCAGTTTCTGATTCGCTGCCACAAAATGTTGGAATGACATACCACCACCAATACGAAATTCCATATTTTTAAGTTTATTTCACTATCTTTCTTTTTCTCCATTTATGGCTCCACTGAAAACCAGCGTAATGAGGCATCCCCTGTCTCGTTACAAAAAGGTGACCATTTTGGTAACATGCTATATGTAATTGTGTCTGTTTAATGTTAAGTCCTTTGTATAATTTATTTTGAGTTTTATTTTGTTATTTTGAAATTTTTGAGTTTGTTACCAAATAAATTAATTTTCTTTCTTTCTTTCTTTCTATATTAATTTAACTCTACTGCTCATTCATAAGGCAAATTCCACTAAGAAGAATGAACGAGAAATTCTAGTGTACCCACTGGTTGGTACTAGTTGTTGTTAAAAAAATATATAAAAAACTTCTCCATAGTTAATTACTACGTTCATACTTAAATCAACAAAAAACCTAAAAATTGTAAAGTCTTTTTTGTTCCAAGTTTTAACTACAAATTGATTACCTTAAACCTAAATTTTATGTGTACCTTTTTTTGTAATATCTGTATCTTGTTACGAGAATCTACAAGTTAATAATAATAATGACTTGTAAATATCTCTTTTCAGACATGTACAATTTCTACTTCTCTACACTATATCAATCAATCAGCAATGCGCGGATCGTATTCTCAACAATTTATGGATGGTAGCCGCAGGCCTACATGACATAGGGCCTGGGGCACTAGTCACTAGAAAAACAGCTGCTAGCCACTTAGCTGGACTCCTTGCCCGTTGTGTCAGAGTCCCTAACACCAGACTAATAAAATACTTAAAAAGTATGTCAGAATGGTGTCACAGCTATATAACGGCCACACAGGAAACTACATCAAATAGTAACAATACAAAAGTGCATGGAGCTTTCCATGCTATATGTCATGCTGTCTTCTATTTGGTGGCTTTTAAACATCATCATTTGTTTTCGAGTAAAGAAAGTAAGTATAATTTGTAACGCACTCAGAATTATATAATTCGATATTTACAATGTATCTATATTTCTTTAAAAAAATTAACAGTACGAGAATGAGTACCCAATGGACTGTTGTGGGCTGTAGCAGTTTGTATAGTGGTGTTTTTTTAGAATAGCAGTTCTAAAAACAAATTATGTTGGAATTATAGTCAGCTTTAATTGTTCTAACATTTATTGGTGTTGGATTTATTTACATAATAAAGTATTTCAATTACAATTGTGTTGAAATGCTTTGTCAACTTCCTGTATATACATTTTGAAATGAAAATCAATATTTTTCTTACAATTTTCAGACCTAAACTTCATAGAGTCACTAAACCTACCTCGTCTAGTAACATGCACGCTAAACCCTCTCCGCACGTGCCCGCCGCAAGTGACGCGAACGTTTTCGTCAGTGACGCGTGCGTATCAAGTCGTCTACTGCCAAGCTATTATCGAGAAGAATACTAGACATTCACTGCAGCATGTCACGCAGTATGAAGAATGGTTCCCTTATGACCCTTATACATTGCCCATGTAAGTATATTTATTTATTTATAAATAATAATTATTTGAGTGATTTTTGGCTTTTGAGCGCGAAGCCACTGTTTCAGCCTCTCTCAGTCACTGAACACGTTCTGTCATTTTAGGTTACTAATATACTAATATTGCCACCATCAAATCACTCTGTTTAATCATAGTTTGGCAACTGATTGTAGATAATAAAAAAAAGATAAATAATAAAATATTTACGTCTGTTTTAGACTCTAAAAGAATAATAATATGCTGCATAAGTTATGGAATTGTAGTAATTAAAGACACTTGACTTTTTTCTTCACAAATCATTAAATGTAATTCAAATATTGTGGTAACACACACATACAACGCACACAAATACACATTCATACACAATGTTTTAAATCCAAAATCACCTAATGTTACATACTTACTTCACAAAGTTATAAATAATATAATGTGAATAAGTTCATAATAATCAAACATTCCAATTCTGCCTACTAAAGTACGTATATTATTAACCCCTAGTTTAGAAGGAAAGACAATGTTTTAACCAATTTATTACTTGGGTTTTGATTTGTAAAATAAAACATTATTATTATAGATACAGAACATGTATTGCAACTTAACAATAAGAGTACATAAAATGACACAGGTTGATGACTTGATATTTCTTCAAAGAATTCTGTATTATGTGTACTATGTACCTAATTATTTAGAAATGAAGAAAACCCTTGTGTTGTGGTTACTACTGTTTATAAATACTCTATTGGACTCATAATCTAATATGAAGCAGCTTTTCTTTAAAGTACATTTAAAATAAAACAAACGTTTATATATATTTTTTATTACAGTTCCGGTAAAATAATTTGGCCCCTCTGCATAGAATACAAGGACTTCTCAAAAGAAGGCGATGACGAAACACAGTACGCGGGTATGAAACGCAAACTCGAAACCGACGACGACTACTTCATGTCAGCCAGTCCTTCACAGAAACTAGCCAGCTCATTGTCCAATTGCATTTCGCCAGGTTTCAAAACTAGCGACAATATTATGATTTGAATCTCCTTACTTACTGCTTGCGTAATAACACGGCCCTACATCGGTATCTGTGAGTTATCGTATATTAAAGAGACAATATAGTTTTGTGCACCATAAAACGGGATAGAGACAACGCACGGAATCTTTCCCTTTCGAATAAAACTAATGATTTATTAATTTCAAAGGTGTTGGACCACTTTATAAATATAGTAAATGTCCACATTTTACAAAAATTTTTAAAATCACATGCTTGCGATTATTTTCTGTCAGCCGTCACAAGGTCGACCTCTGGCAGGATCGAACTTGTGCTGGTGGTGACAATAGTAAACATGCTTCGAAAGGAGACCCAAAAGCTTCTCTCTTGTGCGAGAAACCTAGTAAATACTTTCTTTGAAGTAGCGGGGATAGTCAACTTTCAACCTACTAAGTGTGGGTTGAAGAATGTGCCTGGTGTTTATACGAAGCTGTACAAGTATTTTTGAATTTGAACTTGACTAAAAGTTATATTTAAAAAAAACAGTACTAAAAAAACTGACCTCAAAAGTCTTTCATCTCCAAGTTTGCCACCCTATAAGGGTGAAAAACCTTAACTTTTAAATAAAGGAGGAGGTACTCAATTGAGTACTTTTTTTTTTAGTGGGTTAAAAAGGGGTTTTCATTTTGGCAAAATAATAAACTTAATTGTGATTTAACTTCAAATATCATTGAATTGCATAAGACATTAATATGTATAGCACATTTTGTCCGATGTAGGGCCAAAGCGATTTATAAATGCAATACGAAATAATTATTTATTATTCCATGGACCAATAACTCTAAGAGGACTGCTAACGCTATACGAGACAGCGTAGTCGGGCTTTTAGTACCTATTTGTACACCGTTGTCGTGACGAGCCCGAATAGCTACGTTTGTAACTAATTTGTTTTACATTGACGAGCTGCAATTTATCAAAGCTACTCTAATTTCTAGTGATACCAAACAGATCAACTAGATAGCGCTTATTTCACAGGTTTTTAAAGATACTGCCAGCTATAATTCTTTTACGTTACTCTAAGATTAGTGCCATCTACCCAAAGTAGCAAGCGGTAATTTATAAATTAGTTTATAACAGAAGGTTTTGGTTAATTATACAAATTATTTGAATAATACTACAAGGAAAAAACTGATTACTTGTATTTCATATTAAAGAAGAATTAATTGATGTCCACAGCCATTTAGACAAACTATTATACTTCCATTAGCGCCATCTAGAGATATGATATAAGACAGTATTTTGAGAAGTGTGGAAATTAGCAGTTCTTAAGTTGTTAAAAAAACGCAACAAAATAGATATTTAATATCCTATATGTACGTACTACGTAGAATGACTACTGCTATATATATATAAATATATATAAAAATATTTTTTAAATGTATTTCCTACTTTTTTGCTCCTGGTTATTCTCTCAAAATTACGTAAATTAAAATACAATAATGAGTTATTTGTGGAATCTATGTACATATGAATAAGAGTTGTTTTCGCAGATTTCGAGATTCGAATTGCGCTTGTCTTATTGTAGATTAGTTTTACTAACATAATAAGATGCCAGTAAAACCATAAGGACAATGTGATTTTTAGAAAGAAATGTTAGTTTAAATATTTTTCAATAAGTCATAACGGCGTCCATTGCGTGAAACTGAGTGCGAGTGGTCTCACGGTAGACTGCAAAGAGGATCTAATCACTACGTTGAGTAAACTGGTTAAAATTAACAAATGAGTGTTAAACCCCCAATTATACTCTATACGTACGGAAGAGGACGCTTTAAATCAAAATTTGATCTAATAAATTGTCCTAAGAATTTTACTCAATATATATTTAGGTTGTTAAATTTATATTTAATGTTTTTATTACAAGAAAATATAACAATGATTATAACGGATCCGCCATTGTACAGCGTCAAGAGCACGTCAAGCTTGACACTAAAGGTTTAGATTTAACTCTATGCCGCTTGCAATAAGAACGACCTAAAGTCCAAAATGTCAAGCTTGATGCGCACTTGACTGTACGCAGTGAATATTTTAAGTGTTTTCAACAAATAAAACTATTTATTGCAATATTTGTTTTATTTGAGTTAAATAAAGGCTAATCTTAAATTAATTATAAGGACTGAAATCTAGTAAACTTTTAACAGATTGTAGAATTATGGCATCGGAAATCTTTTATTCGACGAAAGTAACAAGAAGTTCAAGTAAAAGAAATTTAATCGTAAAAATTTCAATGCTAAATACTTTTGCATAATTTTTTGTTGTACGTATTGCGTAGCAGTAATATAAAACATTTGTCTGTAAACTAGAAAAATTACAAAATATCTAATTGGAGTATTATTTCCTCACCAATTCTGAACACAGTCGATGGTATAACAATTTGTTTAACGTAGCCTGGAATTCATATACACTTGACACAAACTGTTGGTGAAAGTAACAGAGATGTGTTTGCATTTTGTACATCAACCCATTAATATAATGAGAAAGCTGGTACAAGCGAACAAATCTATCTATATTTATTGTTATTCCATTGTGTTCAAACACATATAAGTTTGAAGACACTTTATAACCTCGATTATCACATAATTTTTACCTCCAAACCCCAGCGTCAAATGGCCACAGGCGAGGTGTTGAGAAGAGGCACGGGGGGACAAACTTGACCACGCTTGACGCGAACGAAACTAACTAAGTAGTTTCATGCAACTAACTACGCCAGCTAACTTTACAAATTTTTTTTTTATAATACCAAGCGAAGGGACGAACAAGTCGCCTAGTGGTAAGCGACACGTAGCCTATCCGTAACAGTTGCAGTGCCTCTCAGAGTGCCTTTAATCGCAAAGATCTTAAGGAGACTGCAACTGTCCACCACCATTATGGTTGGGGGGCAAAAATTGCCTCGTGTATCAGCCGATCGCTGACTCCCGTGAGAACGACTTGGCAATAACAATGGACACTGATCCCGCACGTGAATTGGATGTTGATGTATAATTGAAGATGGCAGCGCCTGCCCACACGAGATGGCTTGGGAAGGTTCGCACATCTTAGGACCCAATGGCGGATTTGCAGTCTTAGTCGCCCCAGGCCATATAGTCAGTACCAGCCGCCCCTTTCTCAGCACTCATCATATACTAGTAGACTACATAATGGATTTACTTTATTACCAACTTTTACGAAATCGATTTTTCGAAAGAGAATTTAGTTAACTATAATAACAGACGCGGTAGTGATAATATGTAGTGATTATACATTAAATTATAGATATGTAACATATCTATATTTTATACAACAAATGTACAAAAGTGATTTAGGAAGATTATACCATAGTGTGCGTGAGCCCTTAGAATATTTAGATACTTTTGAGTTATTTTTTGTTATCATCAGTGAATTTTTTGTCACGCTGGCCACCCTAGGCCCGGGCATACTGGGCCTTAGGGCTAATCCGCCACTGCTAGGACCCGGACACCAAGAGTTGTTGGGGAGAACGGCGAAGAGTCCGACTGCTCCTTCATGTCACTCGCCTCAGCTTCGTCTGCGACATGGACTCGCGGCCGGACCAGAAAGCGGGCTAAGCCGCCTTCTGCGGAGACACCGGCCTCTAAGAGAAGGCAACAGAAGGGCTCAGGTGACAAGGAAGCTGTCTAGTACCCGTCTGTCGCTCCAGGTCCAAGTTATCGCTTCCTAGAAAGGACGACCTGCTGAAGTAGGAGGCCCTTCCGACGACTGAGGTCGGGTTGCGCATCAAGCCTCGAAACGGTCGAGAAGGTGGCGGCATCGGATCACCTCAAGGGCCCGTAGTTCCGTACCCTCAGGGTGGCGGCGAGGACCGTGACCACCTCCAGGGCGATGTACCTTGGAGTGCCGACGTCGCTCCCCGATGTTTTCAGCAAACCCAGGAGGGTGCTGAGATTCTTGGAGGAGTTTGGGTGGCACGAGTTGCGGACACCACACGCAAAAAAAGGCGCCTGAATATCGAGTTACGGGCACCAGCGTTTAATAATTAGCATCATACCAAGCTATGTAAAACAAATAGGTCGACCCGTCCTACGTAAAGTATCGTATGTCGAAATTGCCTAGTTTAAAGGGAGGCGCTTTAAAGTTCTGAGTTCACTAAAATGAGCATGACACGTTACGTACTTTACGTAGGAGGAGTCGAGGTACCTAATTAACTTAAAATTACACTAACAAAATAGGTCTATGTTAGCAATTAATACTGTTTTAACTTATAAATAAACTGTACTATTATAAAATGATCACAAAATGTCAGATTATTGAAGTCATGTCACTATTTAAAAGGCAGAAAGATAAATCTGAAGCATATACAATTGGATAAATATATAATCAAAACTACGATATATTTTGAAAAAATTTTGAGTAGACAAAAGAAAAGGTAAAAGACATTAGAAATGTTTTGACTACAAAATATTAACGAAACTATGGAACTTTTTTGTATTTTGTATGTCCTTTTACCGTTTACATGTTTTCTATTGTGAAAATAAATCTCAAATTCGAACTCGTCAAACATCACAATTTACAAAACTGACGAAATAATACAAAAGTCAAAAATTTTCATGCAACTGCATAAACAAAGATTATCTTTTTTTATGATAAGGATGGCGTCTCCTAAACGAACTAGCTGACTTGTGGGGTGGTTGGAATTGCTTTGTTTGATATTGAGTGATGATTGGTGTCTCGTTAGCTGCCAATTTGTTAACGACAAAGTCGTCACCGGCTTTCATGTTTTCCATCATTTTGAGTTTTGCTTCTATGGATTGTATTGCAGTTTTTTTACTTAATTTCATTTCTGGCTTTGCACCAGCCAGTGCTGGTATACCAAGCTCCGGTTTCGGCTTGTCTTGGTCATCCTGAAAAATAAATTTCAATAATTTATTTTGGAGTCACGGATAGTGTTAGTAACAATTAAGGAACTGCCTCTGTAGCCAAACAGATATCATGCTGGTCTGCCACAGAGGTTCGATTCTCGAGCCGAGGGAAATATTTGTATGGCCTACATTTATTTCATGTGAGTTTGGGTGTAATTTGTGGTTGTCTATTGTGCCTTGGACACACCAATAGACAACAACACAGGGTTTCCGGATATGTCATCGAGTATATAACTAGAAATAGAGACGAAATAAGGGCTATATATTCCTGGTAACACATTAGCGATACAGCTCTTATAAATAACAACTCTCGTTTGCACTGAAATATAGACAGGCCAACTACTGACCTGTGTGTACGTCTCCGTATATTCCAAAAAATATTCTGTATTTATTGTAATAAAGATAATATCTCTAACAATGCCGTGCTGTTCTATTCGGTGGTGTGGGAAAGACAGCAAAACGTCTAATTACAAAACAAACGGAATCACATCTCATCGGTAATGAAATATTAAATAAGTAATTTTGCAATTTTCGTCCATTATAGCAAGTCACAAGTTAACTGGACGATTTGAAGTGAAACAGTTGACGACACCCATTGATGACACCCGTCAATTGTTTTGAACTCGGGCTAGCCAATCGGAGCGCAGTTGTCACAGTAATGATATGGCAGAATAGTTTTCAAACAAATTAAATGACATTTCGTCTCTATTTCCGGTTATATACTCGATGGGATATGTAGTACGAATAATACAAAAAAACATATAATGCAAAGAATTAACAGTGCACTGCCTTTACAAAAACCTGGAGTTGGTCATACGTATGAGTTCGTTGCTTTCGAGGACAAAGGTGCTCTAGTTTATCCCACCTAAGATGCTATCCAAATATGCAGAGTAGCAAAGTTAGAAATCCAAGATAAACAAATCACAAAAATTTCACACGAGGCCGTCATGAAGTAAACCTCTTCTGATTAATAAGATTTTACCATATTTTGTCAGCAGTAACATTTTCATTTGTCTTACCATTCGTCAATTTGATCAATTGTCAACAGAAAACTATTTAGTAAAATTAATTAGGGCAGTCGCAAGTTCATATATTGACGTGCGTTTTCATTAATTAAGTTAATCGATAAGATCTTTTATTACAAAGAGATGTTATATGTATAATAAGCTTATTTTATTGGCAGGATAATAATTTTAATATTTGAAGTCGACTAAAAATTAGTCTTAATTTTTTAAAGTAATCAACATTTTTTAAAACAAGTAAAATAAAGGACTTAACTATCTTATTGTAGTATTTTTCTACCATATTAATATTACGATTACTTGTAATCAACAAATACTAGAACAAAAATTATTTTATTTAGAATCGATTAATTTAATGGAATACGCGTGTTTACGCGTATTCCGTTCAATCAATCGATTTGGAGCGGAAGGAGGTTTCCATTACTAAATAGTTCTTGTGACGACATAGTGGGTGCAAAAAATGTGGCGCGCTTGGTTTTCATACTGCGACGTCTATCTTTCAAATGACGCATTTAACTTTAAATACAATACCCATCAGCAGGAAAGAATAAAAGCTAATTGTATAATTTGACACTTAAACGTCATATGGAAGTATCGCGAGTGACGAGTGACCCGCTCTAAAAGATCTAACATATGATCGAATCATTTGACCCGGTCACATTACGCATGGGTCATGTCATGATCGACCCAGGTTATTAAAAATGATCGACTGACACAGGTCTACTAGGAGTGAGGCACAACGCTTTCTACTAAAGAAGTAATCCGTACGTTAAAATAATTATAATTATGTACGATAATTGTGTAGCCCCTAAAGTTATATTGTATTTAATATTATCCAATAAACATAGATGTTTTTCTATTGTTTTATATGTATAAGTTAAAATACTCACAGATGCATTCTTAGCAAATTTCACGCAGATCTTCTTATGGCCCAGCAGTTGTCCATTCAATGAATTCATTGCCTTAATGGCATCTTGCCTCAGCCGGTACGTGACAAAGGCGAAGCCTCGAGGCTGCCCGGCATTGGGCCCCGTGCGGTGGAACAGCATGTCGAACTTCTCGATGTTTCCGTACGCACGCACCAGTTTCAGTAATTGATACCGGTAATGAGAAATGGTATGGTTTATTGAACTGAACTAGAGCAAATTAAGAAATAATCTACCGTCTACTAATTAAAACGCGGTTAAGTGACTAATGGTCAAATAACCATAAATATATGGTTATTTACACAAATAGCAAAAAATAGAGCACAAAATTCTCTTAAAAAAATAGTTAAAATGAGTTAACGTGTTCGACTTATCGGAACTTATCCTAACGATGCACAGATGAAATATCATTAAACAATTTCATTATTCTAAAACTGGGTTATAGTTTTTTATGATATAACTATTATGTCACTTAGCTGGATTTTAATTAGCGGTCGGCGTAACAGAACTATAATACTAAAATTATTATATTAAAATTCGAAGAAACTGAGAACTGCTTGCTTATCAAATGAGACCAATTGCATGTTGGTTCAAAAATATTAAGAAAGTAGATGCAACTGCAAAACCTACATAAATAAGTTATTAAGGACTGATAATGATGACCTGTATAATATAGCGACCCGCTGAATACCTACAGTGCCGTCAGCTAACTAAAAAGCGGATAAGTGACAAAATATATATATTTTTTAAATATCATAAACAACATAGATTTAGTATATAGGATGATAAACAACCATAACCCAGTTTTAGAATATTGAAATTGTTTAATGATATTTGGACATAGCTATGCAAACTAGAAACAACCCACAAAGTGTCACTTTCGAGATAATTAGATTTTTGTAAAAACAGTGTGAACAAATAAATAGGTAAGTTATTTGAGACAAACAACGTGAGTTATGTGTAGAATTGATAATGATATAGGGAAACTATTATATTATATAGCAATAAATGGACAACCTTATGTATCTTTTTATTTAGTTAAACGAGAACCATGTTCTAGTTCCGTGGTGAAAACGCTAAAGATCTACAGTGCTTCAGTACATGTAACATGGATCCATGTAGCATATTGTAAAAAATGCATTATATGAAGTTAAGCAGCATGGTTCTTTTTAGCTATTAAAAAGTTACTTATTTAGAGTTGGTACCCTGAAGGACTTTTGTTTTCTCCGTTTTGGCTTGGTATATTACCAGGATCTTTTGTGAGCGGGTAAAGGACACGTCTGGTGTTCTACCTAAATACATAACGCAATTTCTCTCGAGGTGTGGGTTGGTTCTTGTTTGCATAACTATGTCCATTTTAGCAATGCATCGTTAGAGTAAGTTCCGATAAGTCGACCCCCCCGAATGTGTTCCCGCCTTGTCGTGGCGGGGGGGGCTCTAGTAGCCATGGTCGATGTCATCCCACGGTGAAGCTAAGAGGAACTCACGGGCCGGCCAATGGAGCTAGGCTGGCGCGGGCTCGTCTTTATCTAGGCCGAGCGGGTCCGCGCGGACGCTTGCGGAGAGGAGGGTCGCGGGTGAAAAGACGTGTCGGTGTGTCGTTGCCGCTCGTCCTGTCCTCCGCGGCCAAATTTGGGCGATTGGCCCATGCGGTGGGCGCTCCAAAGGACTCTCAAAGGATGGATGCGCGTAGGGTGTTGCGGCGGAGCCTATCAACAGATCCGCCGCGGGGGCTGGGGGAGCATCCTCTGAACTTCACAGTTGAGGGGATGTTGCCCTGGTCCCATGGCCCCTGGGTAGCGGACGGACGGGGAGTTTGTTGCCCAGCATGGATGGGCCCGAGATGGAAGGCTCGTCTGGTGTTCGGCGAGCCTTACATTTGGAGTCTGGGGACCGTTGTTTCTCCCTTCTCGGGGAGGGGCTGCGCTGGGCGCGGCCAGCCGCTGGAGGAGCGGACGAGCGATAGCGTACCCGTGCCTCTACCTGCAGCGAAGAGGAGGAACACCCCGGGGTTTGGTGTGGTCGGGTTGCCCCCCTTTAGGGTTCAGCCCAGTCCCACATAACCCATAATTCCCTCTAGTAATAAAAAAAAAGTTCCGATAACTCGAACACGTTAACTAATTTTAACTGAAGAGAATTTTGTTCTCTATTTTTTGCAATTTAACCATATTTTGTTACTTAGCCACGTTTTAGTTAGTGGACGCCAGTACATTTGCATGATAGGGCTTCACCAGTAGCGCTAGCGCGACAGGGCGCGATTTGAGCGACTCGCGCCCTCTCGTGCTAGACCCTCTGAAGTAACCAATCAGCTCACAGAATACACAGCTTTCACTTACACAGTACGTACAAACTGGGTTTCTGCTAATGTTCTTGGCACCACTGGTCATTGTAATTCCATTGAAACTTCACTGCGATTATTAGACTTATTGCAATTATGTAACATCATTTATTCTGCTATAATCTAGTCGCAGCTGGCAATTGAATCTCAACAGAATGTCAGTGGAATACTAAGGATGGCATTCATTCATTCAATCACTAATGATTAACATTGCCTTACTAAACCTACCATGGAAGTTACTCTGCTTTAACTTAATTTTTATCTGATATAAGGTCGTAGTATATGTAACGTAATTTTCCCTGTCAATAATGTAACATCAGTTATTCTGCTGTAATCCAGTTGCAGCTGGCAATTGAATCTCAATAGAATGCCAGTGGAATGCTAATGATGGCATTCATTCAATCACCAATGATTAATATTGCCTTACTTACCATGGAAATTACTACACTATATCTTAATTTTTATATTGTTTAAAGTTGCGGTATATGTAACTTCATTTTTCCTTACCCGTACAAGAATTTATTGTTAATATCGTTACATACATACAAAAAACATAGTATTCAAGTATATGAGATAGGAACGGGACGATATTTTGCCCGTTCCCATCTTGTATACTGCAACCCTTAATCAACAATTTAGTCTTCAAATTAAATATAATACTAGTAGACTGCATCATCTACACGCCATTGACTCGTCACTGAAATACGGAATACTAAAAAATTGCAATGCCAGTTGAATAGCAGCTTGATGGCTAGCCACTGACCAGCAGCATACAAAATGTTCTCAATTCTACTATTGACACTCTACAAACACAATGGAGATAGTTTAAAATAAGCACGGGCAGACTTGGGCCCAGAAACTTGGCAAGCAAACATTTATTAATATACATGAATATATTTATTTATTATACATGAAGCTCAATACAGTAGAAAGTCACAAGGCTTTAAAAAAAATAGCACAAGCTGTTCATTTGTATTACAATAAGATAATAAATAATCATACATGGAAGTGGAATCACAACGCAAATTTAAAAAGGGAATGTAGATGGTAAGACCTTAAAAAAGATCTCATGCCAAAAACAAGAATAAAAATATATGAAAATACGTTATGCATGGGGTTCCTTTTTTGAAAACTTCATTTATGTGTTTATAGATCGACAAAATATAAAATGATACATACTCATTAACCCGAGTGTCGAGATTTCCGATCCATAATCTTTTGTCGCTGACCTCGCAAGCTTGCAAGGGCTCCAGGTGTAGAGGCACCTGTAAATAATAACCCTTATTGCACTCTGGAAAACTCGATAATAGCATGATAATTTTGTGCAAGGGTTTTTAGGCTAGCTTCAAAAATCTTACCGTGGCATCATCCATGGTCTCGTATTATCACTTACAAAACTATTACACAAAAATTAATATATTACAATGGCAGTGGAATTTTCATTGTACTTGGAAATAAGGCAATTCAGTATCTGGAGACTAGGAAAGTTAAATTTTATTGATTTTCTATTCAAGGCACCAAAGGCACCACCCTGCGCGGAGACAGAATTTTCACTTTTAAATTACACTATTTTGAAACGTACTCAATGTGATGTGAGTAAATGAGACACTTTGTCCGCGTTTGCGACTTTTTCATGTGTTTCTATCTTTTTCCTTAATTAACAGTAAAGCACTAAAAAATTGAAATAAAGCGTAGATTATAGACTATAGAGTTGCACATTGACCCCTAACATGTAGATAAAATCGAGAAATCATTCGTTCTTTGACAATGTCCCTCTATTACAGTCTGCTACGTAGAAAACAAGTGGATTCGCTCTGGGCCTTTTGGACGGAAAAGTATCGTTTTTATTTTGACTTTTAACTATTTTGTAAAATCTAGTTTAAAGTGGAATAGGATAGTGCTATTGTGTCTTAATCGAAGATTAAAATGCGAAATTATACGAATCTCGAACTAAAATACCAGTATCGGCCCGTTCTAAGGAATCCCGAGTCAATCCAAGCACGCCGCCTCATTATCCTCTTTGTGGCGGCCATATTTACAGAAACATAATTAAACGAAGACATGGCTCAAAGTGCTTGTATCCAAGCCAAAATTATTAATAAAAAATAAAAAAACAAGTTAGTCAAAACACTTTGATAGTGGCTAAAACGCTCACCGCGAAGAGCCAAGAGAAATTAGAAAAAACAAAATATAAGGACGGGTTTTTGAAGTTACGATTACAGTTTTTATAAAGTTTATTTTAATTTTAAGTATATTATGAAGAAAAAATTAAGAAAGAAATAATGTTGAAGAAAGATAGAATTATATTCTGTATTTTATACCAAATTACAAAACACTATCCTGTAAATTCCACTAATTACGAATTCAAAGTTATTGTTCAAAGTGATAGAAGATAATGTGATTTAACTGAAAGTAAAATATAAATATTGACTCCCGCCGCTTAAAAGACTATTTAATAAACCCAAATAAGTGACCAAAACAAAAACAAAAATTAAGAAATAAAATGGCAAATATTTCTGAGGATCCCGATAATTTAACGAAGGCATGGCTCACAAGACTTGTATCCATGCCAAAACTATTAATAAAAAAAAAGAAGAAAAAATATAAAGTCATAACACAGGAGATTCGCTCTGGACCTTTTGGAGGGAAAAGTGTCGTTTTTATTTTGACTTTCAATTATTTTGTGAAATCTAGTTTAAAGTGGAATATGATAGTGCTATTGTGCCTTAATCGAAGATTAAAACGCGAAATTATACGAATCTCGAACTAAAATACCTGTATCGGCCCGTTCTAAGGAATCCCGAGTCAATCCAAGCACGCCGCCTCAAATTGCCTATCCACTTTGTGGCGGCCATATTTACAGAAAAACTTATATTTATGTTTTCGGCTGAAGGACTTTGTTTCCATGGCCAGCAATAAATTAAGAAAAAAAAAAAAATCATAACACAGCTGTCTGACCGCGAAAGGCCAAAAAAAAACACAGCTGTCAAGCTAAGGTTAAAATAACTTATCATTTTGAGCAACAAATAAATAAAATGAGTCAGTACAATAGATAGTAGCTAACTTAGTTAATATTGTGATTGCGCTACAAGCCATGAAGAAGATAAATACAAAAGTCCCAGGAATTTTACCACCGCCGCCAAAATCTGAAATTGATGGTAAAATAACAGATTTATCATCAAAAACCGTTCCAGAATTATTAGAACTTCGAGATAGGCAACGAAAACTATTAAATAACAAACCATTTATAGCTAAATTAGCTGATAAAGGAGCTAAAATACAGGCTTTTCATGATAAAATTGTAGTTGAAATAAAGGCAAAACATGACGAGGAACAAACACGTCAACTATTCGATCGCATGAAACTCAGTGACATAGACAAGCAGTCCGTGCAAAACATCGAATGGGAAGGCAAAATGGGGGTTAAAGAGAACGTATATCTTGACTCTGATGATGACAGTGAACTTGATGATGTTTTACACATTCTCAGTCAGAACACAGCGCAAGAAAAAAAACTAAAAATTTTAGAACCAGAAAAACCATTAATATCAACTGAAGAATTGATCGCAATAGGAGAAATTCCACATGTAAAATATATAGTCGAAAAAAGCGAAATTCGAGCTAAACCTAAAACTACAGGACAATTCAAACCATTTAAAACAACAATATCTGATGTTCATAGGCCAGAAAAGGAGATACTTAGAAAAAAGCATAAAAATTGGGAAGTTACTGCTGCTACACCACCACCAATTCTTCATAGCCCAGCTAAAGTTTTAAATCTAGAAGAATCTTTGAAACTTCAAAAAGAACACAATATGCAATTAAAGGAGATAGAAGCTCAACATGCAGCGGAGAAACTACAAGCTCGTTTAGGTATTAAAATAGTCAAGGCACCAGAATGCACTAGGATATTTGGAAAGTACAGAGAAGAGGAAAGTGATGATGAGACAGTCACTTCAGACCCTGAAGGGAGTGATAAGGAGGTGCATGATGAGGAACCTGAAAGAGGAGGAGTAGTGTTCACTGTTATGAAATGAAAATACTACTGAGATTTATTGTTCGAACAGGATATAAACCAACATCTTATATAAACATTGTAGTTGCATATCATTGTATAATTTATCTAACTGGTGTAAAAGTATTACACGCCCCTTCACTATGCTATGACAAATATAATTTATGTTTGGAAATATAGTCAGAAAAAAACATATAATACATACTTTCTCTCATGGTTCACTTCATTCATGGTTTAGTGTAGTCAAGGTACACACGCCAGCACATTAAGCTACACATTGACGTATCTTGTTCCATTGCACTGGAGGCAATTTTCGAACAAAAATGTGTAGTCTGATTTGCCATTGTCCATACATTATTTGGACAGTTCTTGTCATAAATGGCACAAAGGTTGAGTTTAAGTATAAGGCAACCCAATAGAAAGGCAAAGATGAAATTAATAAAGATTTTATTGAGACTTAAGCTATCTATAAACTGATAATTATATCCTATTTTCTATTTATTTAAATACACAGGTACATACATAAAAAAGTACAATAAATAAAGAAGATATAATAATGATTTTCTTATAAAATGTAATTTTGCAATAAAAGATATTTGTAATCAGTCATTTTACTTTCTCCTTTAATTTTTTTTATGTGCAGTCCGAATTATCACGATGAGACAGCAGATAACAGCGGACAATGCGCGTGCGCAATATTTATCGCGCATTTCCCGTCACTTTCAATTCTACATTTCAAGTAATCACTCGCGCGCCGGCGCTCGCTGTGCATACACGTGTGTCGTGGTATTAAACCTATATATTTTTTGTATAAATATTTTGTGAAATGGCGCCAGTGTCTATGGCTGTTGTGGGTATAGACGATGATCAGCGTTTCGCGCTGATGAAGGTGAGTACCTAGTAGCTAGTGTTTTTATTCCTTGTACTCATTGAACCGGTGAACTACCGAGTGCAATGCACAGTATTACTAATTACAGGAACATTTGCGCCATTATTATAGTAACCTTTGTTCTTGAATGTTTTAATTAAATTTAGAATGATTAAATTAACCCATATATGCCCATTGGGTCGATTTTGTCCTGTAAAACAGGTTTTAAAAAACGCGTGAGTATGTTCACGAAAACGCTTTTTTTGCACCACCTAGAGCCATCTATCGAATAATAAATGTATTATCTTCCAAAACAAATAGGTAATTTAGTTCAATAGTCAATTTTGTAATCTGTGGGGTAAGTTCAAGACATAACTCGTTTAGTGGTGCTAAAAAAGTGTGTTCTTGCTGAGAAAAATGTAAGTATATTTTTTTTATTTAAAAATGTACGTGTTATGTTGTTTTTATTACAAAATGGGATAGTTTACCTATCTTATAATATTGAAAACTTATGAAAATAGATATTTTTTAAGACTTAGATCGTTGTCACAACTTTTATGGGTCGTTAACGACCCTGTGGGAAGATATATATTTAATTGCTGTTTTTTATTTTTAGGTCTCGAAAATTGCTTACGACGAATGAGATAATAGACGAGCTAGAAAATTTAGACTCCGATGATGAGACACGAGGTGTTGATATTTTTATTGAGCCGCCAGGTAGTGGTAGGGTATCTGACGGTGATTCTGGCGATGAAGAAGATGTATATTTTCATCACTTATCTCGTCGACAGCTACTCGCACCTGCAAGTATTATTTTGAGACGTCCTTTAGCTGAGGATACCACTTCCAGCGAGGATGAGGAACTAGAAGATATCGCACCATCGTCTCTGGTGGTAAAAGCGGGTGGAAGGGCCCGTAGAATGGCCTGTGAAACGTCCCGTGGAATGGCCCAAGGAACGGCTCGAGGAACGGTTCGAGAAACAGCCCGTACAAGAGCCCGTGGAAGGTCCCGCGGTAGCAACCGCAAACGAGGGCGTGGCAGGTGGCGAGAAACGAATACTGAACACCAAGCGGGTGGGCGCACCTGGGTGAAAAAAGATCTTCCCCCGCTCAATCGTGAGTGGAACATACCGCTACCTAGGTCTGTAACAATTTTATGCGAAAATACTGACCCAGTCACGTTTTTTGAAATGTTTTTCAATCGAGACGTTATTGTATATTTAGTCAGACAAACAGTAATATATGCTGTTCAATCAGGAAATACAAAATTTTCTTTATCTGACAGAGAAATGTACTGCTTTATTGGTATTCTTATTTTGTCCGGTTATGCTCCGTTGCCGCGACGCCGCATGTACTGGGAGAGTAATAAAGATACTCACAATATTCTTGTCGCAAACAGTATGCGTCGAAATCGATTCGAAGAAATAATGCGTTATTTCCATGTAGCCAATAACTCAGAACTATCTGAAAATGACAAGATGGCAAAAGTACGCCCGCTTATTGATATGCTAAATGCTAAATTTCTACAGTATGCTCCTATTGAAAAAGAAATAAGTATTGATGAATCCATGGTTCCGTATTACGGTAGACATGGTTGTAAACAACATATCAGAGGGAAACCAATAAGGTTTGGGTTCAAAATGTGGATTGCTGCGACGAGATTGGGTTACTGTCTGATTGCTGATCCTTACCAAGGGCGCTCAGAGCGTGTCGATACAGGACTGGGACGTTATGTTATCAAGAAACTAATAACTAAAGTACAAGAGGAGTATCCCGACACAGTTTTCTCTGTCTACTGCGACAATTTTTTTACTGGACTGCCATTGGTTAGCGAGCTCAAAGAAAAAAACGTGTTCTTAACAGGGACGGTGCGGAATAACCGAATTGAAAACTGCCCACTAAAGGACATGAAAAAATGCCAAAAAGAAGAAAGAGGGTACTACGATTACCAATTGGATGAAACAAACGGGATATGCGCTGTTAGGTGGCACGATAATAGTGTTGTAACACTATTGTCTAGTGAACATGGGGTACATCCCATACAAAAGGCGAAAAGGTACTCAGCTGCCCTAAAATCAAGAATCGATATTCCGCAACCATACCTGATTTCTCAATACAATCAATGTATGGGAGGTGTGGATCGACTGGACGCCAACGTGGGCGTCTATAGGATTGCAATGAGAGGCAAGAAGTGGTATACACCTATTATTTTTTGGCTTATTGACGTCGCGGTAAATAATGCCACACTTCTAGCTCGCCAGTACCGGAGTGACATCGACACTCTTGAGTTTCGAAGGAGCATTACCCGCGTATGGCTGCAGAACTATGGAAATGAAAAGCTTCAACCCGGACCCACACGAAAGATACAAACCACTGTACCTTATTCGGTGCGGAAACACAATTCGGAGCACATGATCGAAAAGGCTGTGAAGAGACTTCGATGTGCTTTCTGTAAAAATAAAACAGTTACAGCGTGTACTAAATGTGGCGTCAATTTGCATGCAAAATGTTTCTCTCTCTTTCACTCTTAAGTTTTGTTAGTAAATAAAAAGTTGATTTACAATAATAGCATTTTATTCGGCATTAACATATTAGATCCAGGTAACAAAGACAATGACATGAGCTATATAATACTTGACTATATATTTGACCCAGGGGTCGTTATCGACCCATTAAAAAAAAAGGATCCCCCCACCACCCACCTCATATATTCTTTTGGATTCATCATAAGAACCCTTCAGGTACTCACATATCCAAAAATGAAAGAAATCGGAGACCAAAAATAGTTCTGGGCATATATGGGTTAATATCTTTAGTTAGTTATATCTTTGTTCAACTGAACAAATCGGTTTAGTTATTTTTTTAGAACAATTCAGTATGTGTCATTGTTGCTCATTTTAGTCAAACAATAACAATCAATACCGTCCTTGTCTACGTCATAAAACATATTACTTAAATTATAATCGCTTTCTTTTCGTATATAACTTACAATAACTTCGGCATTAAAATCGAAAATTACTACGCCGTTAGCATTTTTATATTGGAGCTCTTTATACAATAAATTAAAATATACTCCCAGACACATAATTCGAGCCACTACGCATTTTTGTCGTAAAGGGCTAGAATGTGTAAAAATAGTATTATCATCTAAGAAAAAGTTTTCCCCCGTTTTGCAAATCCAAATCCCCAACAAGGACTTATGGAAAAGACGTTTAGTATACTAGTTTCAAATTTGCGTACCTAATTGTTTTTGATCAATCAAACATTGTTTAAGTTTATGGCACTTAATACTGAAAATGCGTTGTGGTTCGAATTATGTGCCTGAAAGTGTATTTTAGTACGAATAATATTTGCAATAGATTTATCGTTTGAATTTGATAATTTTTAATCCCCATTTATTCATGTATTTAAAATGATAAATACAAATACGCCACTAATAATTAATCGAATGATTAAAAATATCAGTAGTTTTAATTAGTTACCTACACTAAATTCAAAGTGTCTGGACTCCTTTAATTTGTTTGTCTCACGTAGCAAAGGCAGAACCTAACATAAATACGGAACCCAACAACTTTTTATATGAGTACCTATGGCGTCAATAGCACATCAAGCTTGACACTTTAGATTTAAATCCAACTCTATGCCGCTTACTATACGAACGGTCCAAAGTAGAAATTGTCTAGCGTGACCTGCTCTTCACTGTACCACTCTCACTAGTAGCAGTAGAGCTCCTTGAGAAAGAGTTCGTCCAGGGTATTACTGCCTTACCTAACCTTACCTATTTCCGCCGCCAAGCAGTAATGTCAGCATTACTGCATTCCGGTTTTGAAGGGTAAGGGTGTTGGTGACATTACAGGCACATGCGACTTGTATATATACTATAAATATTATGTTATCTTTGCGATTTAAAACTCAGAGTGGCACTGCAACAGTTATGGACAGGCGTGTAGCTTCCCATCAGGCGCACTAATTTTTCGTCCCGTCGCTTAACATTATTAAAAAAAAATACTATACCATTGACTTACAAATAAACTTGTGGTTCAGTACAATTCGTTAAGGAAATAATGTTTGAGTGAGTACCTATTTCTTTTTAATTACGTCTATTTGTAAAGGTGTAATTAAATTCAACGTCATTATATTAATATCAAAATTCAAACCACAATATCTAGAGATCATTTGGTAAATCTATAAATTCCTCAGTAGATAAACTTAATTTGGAAAATGTAACTAAATATGAACTTTTATTTTCCTATTTTTTAACGACTGTCGTACCATTGTCGAGTAGCTTCCGCACCGGTTTTCATGGTGACGCCATCTCGTGGTCCCGGGCACAATCTTAAAAACTTACTTTTTTGTATTCTCTCGGGTCGGATATGGATGTTTGTGGCACCTTTTTTTGTATTCATAACATAAATACGTTAGTTAGTTACTTTGAGATCAGAGCAACGATTTGATATTGTCTAAATAAGGATACTGCTCATAAAGCAATTTTATTTGTATTCCTACTTGATTTTATATTCCGAGAATGTACCGATATCAATGCTGTACAAACGCAAACGATACAGTACAATGTTAATAGGAATAAATTATAATAGGATCTTATGTAGAGCCAAACAAAATGGATACTTCTAGACGTGGGTATAGGCTTATAAGTATTCAGATACAACCACCACAACTTTACTAAATCCCATCGTTATTTCTAGCATGTAGTTACATGATGGAAGCCGATGATGTAGGTTTTTTAAAAGTCTGCTCGCGTTCTTAATAATACTGCCACTAAAGGAATAAATAAAGGACCAAGAACATCGCACATTTTTGTGGAAAGTATGTAACACGCGTTGTTGTCAATAACGTTTGAAAATAGCGAAACATTTCGTGTGTGGAGCTAATTTTACATGTATAGCGTGTTAACCCCATCTAGTGCGCCCTTAGCGTACGCGCAAGCGTTCTACGTCCTACTGGATATCGTGACGACCACCCATCCTCGAGGAACTAAATTAGTCTTTGCGAATGTACATGGC